CCCTTGAGATATTTCAAATTGGAACTGAAATTATAGGTTTTCAGACTGATTTTGGTGAGTTTCCTCGCCATGCTGTTCTCCACAAGTCGACCTGTGTGGTAGACCGGACCGATCGACCAGAGTGCACTGATTCCACCGGTCGACCTATGCGGTCGACCGAATTGCACACCACCGGTCGACCGGTGGTGTTGCACTACTCTGTCACCAGTCGACCGGTGTACACGGGATTTGACCATGTTTTGCTAAAAAACCCTGTTTTGACCTCAGTTTTCGAGGAGAACCCAAATTAGCTTCATTTGGGGACCTAGAGTAAATGGATTAGCATCTTTAATCCATGTTTTAAGATTAAAACCCTCAGAATGATGATTTGAAACATGAAATAGTTTATGAAACCGGTAAATGAATTATGGCACACTAATAGGAAATCAAAGGATATAATTGAGATTGAAATTGCTTTAGGAATGAGGATCGGATCCTAAAGTGTTGTTTTGTATCAGTGCTAGCTGAGGACCCAGATTGAGGGGTTTAAGGAAGCAAAAGCCAGAATAAAGTAACGCTAGCCAGGTTTGGTACTTACGAGGTAGGATTCCTTATCTCTTTCTTTGGCAGTCTAATTTTAAAAGAGTTTTGGCCTTGTAAATGTTTTAAAGAAATGGCATGTTTGTGAAAGAAAAGCGTGTTTAAAAACAATAGCTTGATTTTAGCTATTAGAATTATAAAGAACTGTTTCATAAAGTTTAATGAATGATTTCTTAAGACAAGAGATCTTGCGAATCGGTAAACCGGCTGATGGCCTAGATAGGATGTGGAGAGTGCATCCTTGGGGGCAGAACCCGAAACCCGGCCCGGGGGTGGTAGGCTTGTGCATGTTGTTATGTAAGTAATTTATTATAGTATAAATTACTTGCTGATGCCTGTAATATGGAGATTTTCCGTTTATATTCCTTTTAGAAAAAGGATGTGAGGTTCCGACTGTTGTGTTGGAATTGAATGTCTTATTTACTTATTCATTTATTTATTTACTTGCTTACTCATTTATTTATTGGTTTACAAAGTTATTTCAAAATATATCCTACTGGGCCTTTCGCTCACGTTTTTATTGTTTTATAAATATTAACCCCTCCCAGGCGACTCTAGGAGCAGTGCAGAGTAGCGGAGTTAGTTGTTACCAGCTGATTTGGTGAGGATTGTGATCATCCTTCATGTGTACGAATGTAAGGATTGTAACCTCTTTAAACTCTAAATATTTAGATTTCTAGACTGTGGTTAATGTCTGTAATGTTATTTACACGATCGTGTATGTACAATACTGTATGTCCTGTGGGTGAAGTCCTGAATGAGGCTAGAGGTTCGAGTTTAACCTCTTTCTTGTAATGTACTTTTCAACTAAATGGGAGGCTTGTTTAGGAATTTCTTTAATATTTTATTCTTAATCACGTTTAACCCCTAAACGAGCCTCCACGTCATCGACCCCCGCCTTGGGGCGTGACAGAGTGGTATCAGAGCCTTAGGTTTAGGAACCACAGGATTGTACAAACTTGTGTGACATCAGGCATCCACTACACAGTCTAGTTTCTTTTCAGTTAAAGGAGATGCCGCCCCGTCGTAGATCTATTAACCGACCGGCACCGCAGACTCAAGAATTCATGGATGCCATGTATGTTGCTTTGCAAGGGATGGCCACTCGAGCTTAGAATGAGCGACCGGCCGAGGATAGGGAGCAGAGTTACTTCTGTGAATTTAGACATGGACCTATCCCCACATTCAATAGTGAGGGAGGCCCCCAGGAAGCAGAGTACTGGTTTGACTCCACAGTTAAACACTTAAATACTATGGGAGTGCCGGAAGAATATTGCTTAGAATTCATGGTGTATAAGATGGAAGGCCAAGCAAGTACTTAGTGAAAATAGGTGAGGAGAAGGCTTGATGTTGCGGGAATGACCTGGGAGCAATTTGAAGTTCTCTTTAATGAATAATACTTCCCACAGAGTTACCGGGATGAAAAAGCAATGGAGTTTATGTTCTTGCTACAAGTTGATTTGTCGGTGAGGGAGTATGAGGCTAAATTCAATGATCTATCATGTTTTGCGCCATCTCTGGTGGAGTCTGAACACTTAAAGTGTCTTAAATTTGAAAAAGGGTCTTAAGAATTTTGTCAGGAGACCCTTGGTGGCTCTAAGAATTCAAAATTTTCGAGACCTGGTGGCTGCTGCTACAAGCGTGGAACAAGATAACCTGCTTATCAGCAGAGCAAGGAAGCAGCTGGTTGTGAATCTACTTCTGGTGGACCTTCTACTTCAGGTGGGCCAGAGCGGAGTAGTAGAAGAAACCGCAATTAGGGACAGATTAGCGGAGAAATGATTAGTGGTAGTAGCAGTTCCTCTGGAAGTGACGGGAGTGCTCCTTATAGACCCAAGTGCCATCATTGTGGGCAAGTTGGTCACATTAGAAGGAATTGTCCTAATCAGAATCGACCGCCGACTCACCAATCTCAGAGTGATGCTTTTTACGATCAAAAGAGGCCACCGTAGTTTGTGCTGCCTTATTAGCCACAATTGCTAATGCCAATGCCATACCCTCCTGTGCCAACCTACCATCCGCCTCAATATCCACAGTTTCAACCTCAATCATCGGGACCAGTACAGATACGTCTGCCACAACAATATAGGCCAGGAACATAGAGGCCTAATATTGGTGATAAAGGGACCGAGAACGCGCAGGGACAAGCGTATACCCTGACAGGAGGCAATTCTGGAGGCCAAGCTAGCAACACCGTGGTTAAGGGTATGATTTTGATCTCTAACTCATTAGCACATGTGTTGTTTGATATTGGTGCTACTCATTCGTTTATATCAAGCTTTTTTGTTCAAACTTTGAAACTGAAATCTAAGAGCTTGGAAACCCCGATGATTTGAACTCTCCATTGGGATGTGTGGAGGTGAGTAGTATGTGTAGATCATGTGAAATCACGATTGGAGGTGAGTGATTAAAAGCTGACCTGATAATCCTTTCGATGAGTCTGTTTGACGTGGTACTCAGAATGGATTGGTTAGCAAGATACGGTGCGATTGTTGATTACTACCATAGGAGAGTGACCTTAATGACTAATTCCAGAGCGATGATCACTTATCAAGCAGACATGTACCCAGTCCTGGAAGAACGACTGTTGAAATACAGTATTGGAGGATGTAGGAATCTAGCTTGTTTTTAGTTCCTTCTTGCTTTAGAAGATGAACCCGAGGTAATTGGAGACAATGCGAGAATTCCTATGGTAGATGAGTTTGTAGATGTGTTTTCTGATGAGTTACCCAGTTTACCGTCGGATCAGGAGATTGAATTCAGCATTGATTTGACACCGAGAACGGCTCCAATTTCTATTCCTCCTTACCAAATGGCACCTGCTGAAATGAAAGAGTTATAGAAACAGCTCGGGAAGTTAGCAGAAAAAGGATATATCAGGAACATTACCTCCCCATGGGGTGCACCTATGTTGTTTGTGAAGAAGCATGACGGATCTCTTCGGTTGTGCATTGATTATCGTCAATTGAATAGGGTAACTGTGAAGAATAAATATGCACTGTCGAGGATTGATGAGTTATTTGATTAGTTGGGTGGATCACAGTCCTACTCTAAGATTGACTTGAGGCCAGGATATCACTAGCTTAAGATTAAGGAGGAAGACATTTTGAAAACTGCTTTTAGAACTCGGTATGGACATTTCGAGTTTCGGTAATGCCTTTCGGATTTACGAATGCCCCTGCTGCATTCATAGATTTAATGAATCGGGTCTTCCGGCCATACTTAGATCAGTTTGTGATTGTCTTCATCGATGACATTCTAGTTTACTCGAACACTTAGGAAGAACATGAGCAGCATTTGAGAATTATTCTTCAGACTCTTCGTGAGCACCAGTTGTATGTGAAGAAAGAGAAGTGTGGCTTCTGGTTGATAGAAGTGAAGTTCCTTGGACATGTGATATCAGGACAAGGAATTTCTGTAGATCCTTCCAAGATCGAGACTGTATTACAATGGGAAAGGTCGAAGAACGTAGCAGAGATTCAGAGATTCAAAGTTTCCTCAGACTTGCAGGGTACTATCGACGCTTCGTAAAGGACTTCTCGAGCATTGCTGCACTGATGACTCGGTTGACCAAGAAAGAAGTCAGATTCGAATGGGATGCTGAGTGTGAACATGTTTTTCAAGAATTGAAGACCAGACTGACAAGCGCACCAGTCTTGACTATACCCGATAGTGAACAGCCATATGAGGTATATTTTGAAGCCTCGAGGAGTGGACTTGGTTGTATCTTGCTGCAAGGTGGACGCGTCGTAGCCTACGCATCTCGCCAATTGAAACCACATAAACGGAACTACCCTACTCATGACTTGGAGTTAGCAGCGGTGATATTTGCTCTAAAGATATGGAGATGTTATCTCTACGGAGTAAAGTTTCAGGTATTCTCTGACCACAATAGTTTGAAGTACTTGTTTACTCAGAAAGATCTGAATCTCAGGCAGAGGAGATGGATGGAATACATGGAAGATTACGACTTCACGCTGCAGTATCATCCTGGAAAAGCTAATGTGGTAGCTGATGCCCTTAGCAGGAAGACTTCAGGAACTTTAGCGTCATTAGCCATGGAAGATTGGAAAAGGACTGAAGTAGTGAGTGATTATGATCTTCAGTACTATGAGGATTATAACCAGGCAATGGTGTATAATCTGATCTCCACACCGGCTCTTGTGCAACAAGTGAACCATAATCAATGGTAGGATCCTCATCTCCAAGGAATCTGGATTCGAATCCAGAATGGAGAGCAACTTGAGGATTGGAGAATCTGAGAAGATGGAGCGCTTTACTTTCACAACCGCCTAGATGTTCCTAAGGTCGATGAGATCAACAAGATGATTTTACATGAGGCCCATAAATCGCGGTACGCTATCCATCCGGGAAGCACCAAGATGTACTAGGATCTGAAAAGACAATACTGGTGGAGAGGCATGAAGAATGACATTCGTGAGTATGTCTCAGAATGTGTAACTTGTCTCCGGATCAAAGCTGAGCATCAGAAGCCTGCTGGAGAATTACAACCTCTACCTATTCCGAGATGGAAATGGGAGCACATCACGATGGATTTTCTAATGGGACTTCTGAAGACTGAGCAAAAGCACGATGCCATCTGGGTGGTGGTGGACAGGTTGACGAAATCTGTGCATTTCATACCGTTCCGTGCAATGTACTCCCGAAAGATTCTGGCAGAATTGTACCTGGAGCACATCGTCAGACTTGATGAAGTGCCGTTATCTGTTACGTTCGATCGCGATACTCACTTTAATACAAGGTAGTGGAAAAATTTCCAGGAAGCCATGGGAATATAATTAAATTTTAGCACAACATTTCATCCTCAGACTGATGGACAATCTGAAAGAGTTATTCAGATTCTAGAAGATATGTTTCGTGCTTGTATTCTGGATTTTGGTGGAAACTGAAAGAAATATCTTCACCTTGCTGAGTTTGCCTACAATAACAGCTATCAGGCCAGTATCGGCATGGCATCGTTTGAAGCTCTTTATGGTCAACCTTGTAGATCACCCATTTGTTGGCTGGAACCAGAAGATCAACTCACTATTGAGCCAGAAGTTATTCAAAAGATAGTTGTGATTCGGGAACGATTGTTAACAGCTCAAAATCATCAGAAGAGCTATGCTGACAGAAGGCGTAGACCTTTGGAATTCCAGGAAGACAACTTCGTTTTGTTGAAGGTTTCCCCAAGCAAAAGAGTTGTTTGTTTTGGTGTAAAAGGGAAACTTGCGCCAAGGTACGTTGGACCATTCCTGATCGTGCAACGAGTTGGTGTCGTGACGTATCGTCTGGCTTTACCGCCTGAGTTATCTCACGTGCATGACGTGTTCCTTGTCTCCATGCTTCGTAAATGTCAACCTGATCCGGAAGCCGTTGTGCAGTGGTATGACGTTCCGATACAATATGACACAACATACGAGGAAGTGCCAATTCAAATTCTTGATCGGAAGATGTGTCATCGTGATATTCCCCTAGTGAAAGTTTTATGGCAGCACCATGGAGTTGAGGAAGCGACATGGGAGTTTGAAACGACGATGCATGAGCTGCACCCGCATCTGTTTGCATTTTGAGGTAAGTCCTAATTTCAAGGATGAAATTCCTTCAGGGCGTGGAGTTGTAACACCCCGAAGAATTAAACGGGATTAATTAATGTAACTAAGATTTATTAGTGTGCCAAATCTGGTTTAATTAATTAATTATTGATTAATAAATGTTTCTGACTTGTAAATTTAAATATTTCTAAGGTATTTAAATATTCTCAATAATTACATTTTTTCCCAGAAGTGTGTGTAGGCACATTTTCTGGACTATCTTTAAATATTTTGTTACACCTGTCCTTTTTCTTTCCTTTTCCTTTTCCTTCCATTCTTTTCCTTTCCTGTGCATACTCTCTCTCTCTCTCTCTTCGTTCTCTCACTCCTTCTCTCTCTCATTTTTTGTCTCAAACCAGCGGATTTCGAACCAAAGAAGGATTTTAAGAAGTTTTCAACACCAAGAGAAGCATTCAAGGTAAGATTTCTGAAAAACTTCTCTTGAATCTCGGATTTTTCAGATTTAAAAACTCATTTTTGGTTCGAAATGGATCTTGATGGATTTTGAGTAAAACCATGGTAGAAATTAGAGATCTTGTGTTCTTTGGACTTGATTCAATACTTAGAACCTTGATCTAGTTGTTTTCCCTTGAGATATTTCAAATTGGAACTGAAATTATAGGTTTTCAGACTGATTTTGGCGAGTTCGCCCTGCTGTTCTCCACAGGTCGACTTGTGCGGTCGACCGGACCGATCGACCTATGCGGTCGACCGGACTGCACTGATTCCACCGGTCGACCTATGTGGTTGACCGAATTGGACACCACCGGTCGACCGGTGGTGTTGTACTACTCTGTCACCGGTCGACCGGTGTACACGGGGTTTGACCATGTTTTGTTGAAAAATCTTGTTTTGACCTCGATTTTCGAGGCGAACCTAAATTAGCTTCATTTTTTGACCTAGAGTAAATGGATTTGCATCTTTAATCCATGTTTTGAAATTAAAACCCTTGGAATGATGATTTGAAACATGAAATGGTTTATGAAACTGGTAAATGAATTATGGCACACTAATAGGAAATCAAAGGATATAATTGGGATTGAAATTTCTTTAGCAATGAGGATCGGATCCTAAAGTGTTGTTTTGTATCAGTGCTAGCTGAGGACTCGGATTGAGGGGCTTGAAGAAGCGAAAGTCGGAATAGAGTAACACTAGCCAGGTTTGGTACTTACTAGGTACGATTCCTTATCCCTTTCTTTGGCAGCCTGATTTTAAAAGAGTTTGGGTCTTCCAAATGTTTTAAGGAAAGGGCATGTTTGCGAAAGAAAAGCATGTTTAAAAATAATAGTTTGATTTTAGCTATTGGAATTATAAAGAACTGTTTCATAAAGTTTAATGAATGATTTCTTAAGACAAGAGATCTTGCGAATCGGTAAACCGGTTAATGGCCTGGATAGGATGTGGAGAGTGCATCCTTGGGGGCAAAACCCGAAACCCGGCCCGGGGCTGGTAGGCTTGTGCATGTGATTGTGTAAGTAATTTATCATAGTATAAATTACTTGCTGATGCATGTAATACAGAGATTTTCAGTTTATATTCCTTTCAGAAAAAGAATGTGAGGTTCTGGCTGTTGTGTTGGAACTGAATGTCTTATTTACTTATTCATTTATTTATTTACTTACTTACTCATTTATTTATTGATTTACAAAGTTATTTCAAAATATATCCTACTGGGCCTTTCGCTCGCGTTTTTATTATTTTATAAATATTAACCCCTCCCAGGCGACTCTAGGAGTAGTGCGGAGTAGCGGAGTTAATTGCTACCAGCTGAATTGGTGAGGATTGTGATCATCCTTCATGTGTACAAATGTAAGGATTGTGACCTCTTTAAACTCTAAATATTTAGATTTCTAGACTGTGGTTAATGTCTGTAATGTTATTTACACGATCGTGTATGTACAATACTGTATGTCCTGTGGGTGAAGTCCTGAATGAGGCTAGAGGTTCGAGTTTAACCTCTTTCTTGTAATGTACTTTTCAACTAAATGGGAGGCTTGTTTAGGAATTTCTTTAATATTTTATTTTTAATCACGTTTAACCCCTAAACGAGCCTCCACGTCACCGACCCCCACCTCGGGGAGTGACAAAAACATGTAATAATTAGTAAAAACTGGTGTTACATAACATGATAACCAATGAACAAAAGACAGTAAAAAACTACATATCCCTTATAGAAAATTTGAGGATAAAAAAGAACACATAGAGAAACAAATAAGGAAAACGACAATAGAACATCAAATGTGCAGAGAAAAAAAATATGAACAAAGAATAGATGAAAAAAGAACCAAAATAGAGAAAAGAGGAAAAAAATAAAAGAAAAATGGATTATTTCGAAGACCTAAACGACCAAACACAAAAAAGAACGAGAAGAAAAAAAGAAAAAAAAAAAGAGATAACAAAACCCTAATATGAAATAGGAGTAAAAAAATTTGACAGAACGAAATCTTAAAAAATGGACAGATATTTTGATTGAGAACATATTTCAACATTAATGTGAGCTTGATATTTTGTACACAAAGTAAGATTATATGGAAGCATAAATCTATTATCAAGTTTTATTCCTTCTTTAATAGTACTGAAATTTGTTTCTCTACGTGAGTAATTGACAAAACCATTTTCATCTATAGTTGTTTCATTTTCGTATTTTTTAGGAAATTTTTAGAACCTAATGAGTCTTTCATACATGGAGCATTTACTTTTGCATATCCACACGGTCCATGTATCATATAATCAGTAGCAACTTTGTAACCTAGTGGGTCAATTTCTGGATTTGGGATTTCAGCTGAAATAATTTTGTTTATTTGTATAGGATCTCTATATTTATATTCTGTATGTAACCAAAATAACATATGACAATGTGAAAGACCACGTTTTTGAAATTCGATGACGTATAAATCTACAATAATTAAAAGAAAACAAATAAAAAAAGTTAGAAACAATTTAAAAAAATATTAATATTTTTTCAAGTAGTTCACATATGAAATATTAATTTTTGTAACATAATAGAAAACTATACTTGCTATTATGGGTCCAAAAATCTTCCCTAATTTTCTTGTATGTAATAAATGATCTAATTTCATCTTGAAAACTCTACTTACAATATATGGTCTATCATTAGATTTTTGTCCTGAAATTAATGTGAGAGATCTTGTAATATTTGGCCATTTAGGATTGCATGTAAAAGGTAAAAACATCAGGATTTCCATAATGTCTACAAATTACCATTGCATCTTGATAGTTTTGAATCATATATCTTGGACTTCAAGTATGAGATGACGGTAAAATAATTTTTTTTCTAATTATTTTTGGGTCAGTATCACCTCTATTTATAGCATCTTGAATACCTTTATAAATTATAGATCTTAAATTATTTTGATTTTGTCTGACATAGTCTAACCGATCTTCTTCAACAGTAGCATATACATCTGTAATATATTGTTGGAAAAGTCTTCCACTTTTAAACAATGTATTTCCTTCATGTAAACGTTGTTGTAATTGAAATGCATAAAATGATCTCATCGAAATTCTTTTTTTTATGGTTTTGTTCCTATAAAATCTGGATTCCACTTATATTGATTCAATATCCATCTTCACCATAAGGAAATAATAATAGATACTGTACAGCCATATAAGATGGATGAAGTTTATTAATTCTTTGTAATTCTCCAGTTTGACCATAGATAATAATATCTCCAATAGTTAAAGCTCTTATATCTGTTGAAGTTGGAAGATCATATTGTGTAGCATCTTCTTCCCGTCTGCCTATTAATCTTAATTTCATTGAATGTGTTTGATCATCATTGTAAAAAATTTTAACAGTTCTGAATAATTTAACCAACACATTTATTTCATCTAACATTGTTATTAATTTCATAGTAATAACTGTGTTCAAATCATTTGAAATATTAGTTAATGTAAAAATTGACATTATATTATGTATTTCGTTTTCTGTGTCATAAATATATAATTGTGTAAATTTTGGATGATTATTATCAACTGCAAGTAAAGATCCTATTAAATGATGTATCTGACCACTAATTTTAAATATATAAGGACCCAATGTTTCATTAATATTTGATTCAATATTTGCTCCGAATGATGTAAAAGAAAATATGAAATTATACATTCTAATATTTTTCTTGAAATGTGTACTTAAACTTCCACCATAATAATTTAGTAATTCATCTAAAATTAATGGTGTTTTTTTTTAAATGGTAATTTAATTTTTTCATTTTGACAACATAAGAAATATGTATATGGATATTTTTGTGTGCGTTCATTATTCCAAAATAATGCTCTACAATATTCACTATTTACAATCTCCAACATCAACATACTCATTAAATTCACCTATTTTCCAAATTGCACGAATAATATAAAATTAGTTAATAACTTTTATGTTAAAAGTTAAAAAAAATTAAGGTTTAGAATTTACACTTTGTTGAACCGATGTTGTATTTGAATGTTGAAATGTGGACTCTAAGCAGATGGGACCACTATCAGAAGCACCAGAGAGTTGTAAATGTTTAATCCGAATGGGCATTACATTTTTTGTTGCTGACTGTTGTTGTTCGATCTTTGACGTTTTCCTATTCTTAACACGTTTCGAACTTTTTTGATGATCAATAATTTGATCAGATTTTCTTTTCATTTTTACTATTGGTAAAATGTACAAAAAATAATAGTAACGGAGCAAACATTATATTAGTTACTGATAAATATTCTAAAATTTAAGAAACATGTTCAATAATTTTAAACGTAATAATTTATTTTATATACTAAAATGTATTTTTTTTTGTTCTGGTACCGATAATGTAACATATTTTTTTACTATATTAATATTCTCTTTTTATTATTAGAATTTGTTATTTTTAAATTACATTAAATTTGTTCACTTTTTATATTTATATATTTTTTTACATAATGTCTACATGAATATTTAGATAAAGTAATATATTACTAAAGAATTTTATGACGAA